ATAATCTGTAGTGATGTACATGGCATTTTTATTATTTGATTCGCCTGTGTTAGTCTCTCAAGTATATTTTATGATTATTGTTAATAGCAAGGTTTCTCGAGGATGGACTAGTGGTACCGGGGCGCTACACTGCAATTTCAACTAACAAAAAGACTTTAATAATTCTTCACAATGAACTAGATCACAGAGTAGAAAAACTTAAGCATATGAAGTTGGAGGTCATGCAACCGAAAATGATGAACAAACTGTTGTGATTATCTAAGTGAACTACCGTATCAAGACTTTAATAAATCATCTTTAATCTGTACACGTGATTCTTTAGTTGTGAAGGGGGAGGGATTTTAGCCCATTTTTGGGATGTATTTAGCTAAAAAGAAAGAGTCCAAAAAAGCCCCTAAAGATGAGAGTTAAATTGACCCTTAAAAATGGTACCATATTTTGCTAACCGAAATGACCCATTAATTTGTCGGGCAGAATCGGCTCGATGCTGATCCGGCAATGGTATTCATGGAAATATATGAAAAAATAAAACTATAGCCCCATGGATAAAGGAGTTATCACCAACTTTAAACCGTGGGGCTAAAAGCCTTCTGGGAACTACAGATTTTCTAAATTCTTGTGCCTTTTTGCATCAATTATCTCAACTATGCAGGCTGACTTTTAGTATTCCTCATTGTTTTACCTGTCGGATCATTTTGTTTACGGATTCCCTAAGATCATCTTAGATTCCTTTACATGTACGTCGCCCTATATCGCCTAGGTTTATGCCCCATTTAAAAAAAGAGTGTAGGATAAGTTAGGGACAGGAATTACAACCACCTGATCTAAAATARTGGCGTAGAAATGGCGTCAATGCAATTGATCATCGAAAAATAAAAATATGTCCGCCATTGGAATAATAAAAATAATTGAAATAATATGAAATAAATACAATTCTAAAGGATGGTACGAATAAAGTTATAGTTGAGTGGAAGGGTCTCTTGAGTTAATCGACAAAACGCCAGATGTGTAGAAGACAAATCAGACTTACTTTTCATTTTTAATTCGTCGCCGTTCAACTTTTCTGGTTCTGGTAGATGGGGCCAATGAAGTACAGGCGCATGAATGTCCTCCTGCCAAATACCTTTCATTTGGGTTCTTGGAAGTGTTTTGGACCGCGTTGGATAGTAACACTCGTAAAGAGTATTGTGTTTCTTGTATTTTTCCTTTGACAGAAAACCGATTTGTTGCGATTGTCTCAAGGATGACTGGAATTCTTTTGTATATCCTGAAAATCAAAACACAACAATTTAACACCCAAAACACAGGAAGAAAAGGTAAAAATAAAATATCTTATAAAA